AACTAGTCAAATGTTAGAATTAAAAAGATATTACACAACCAAGTATGCATGAAATCAAGTTTATCAATGACCTCGTACTTAGTACTGGCATCAATAAAACTGAGGACCTTTTTGGTCCACACTATTTGTCTACAAAATTAAATCAACATTTTTCATTGAGTATCAATAAATAATCATAAACAAATTACTACATGATTGTGGTTGGTATTATGTTTCATGTATTAAATGTGGAAAAAAGTTACAAAAGTCTACATCAAATTGCGACAAGTGTAATATTGATGTTTGTTTTCTTAACTTATTATAAGCAATTTTAATTATATAATTTATATTTATTAAATAGTTTAATTTAAATTTGTAGATACATAATTAAGATAGAAGCTAAAGGTGAAACAAATCTGACTACATTTGTGTTATTTAATAAGAAGGTTGAATTTTTAATCAAATATCCAGCACAATTGATTGACATTTCACTTAAAATATTACTTGGGGGTGTTACTCAATATGAATATTTTTGTCCTCTTGCTTTAGAAAAAAAAATAGTCAAAGTCTATTAACAAAGAGGCTAACTGAAGTTAGAGAAAAAGAAAGAGATGGAAACCAACATGCATGGGAGAAGCAAATAATAGGAAACTGAGATTATGGAGAAGGAAAGAGAGGGCAACATCAAGGAAGAGATGATAACACTCTAGCTTAATTATTAGCTTTTTAACAGGTCATTTTAGGAAGATTTAACGATAGTCCAAATGGCCAAAAAACATTATGAGCTTTTAGGGTTTTGTCTTGAAAGATCAAGCTTGTTTCATAAGTAGCATGATCTATCAGAATTTTAAAATGCATTTAAAGGGAATTCACTGCATGGTAAGACCCAAAAGCTTCTTTTGAAACAATCTATAATCTAGAATCTCTATGGATGCATCAAAGAGGATCCTTCTTTTTTTTTGTATCATGAATGTCGATGCTTTGAACCAAGTGCTGAACTTGGTTGTTTGTTTTGGTGGCAGAAGTTTTAAGTCGGTTATAATGTAATGGAGAAAAAGCTGGGATGTTGGAAGAATTTAAAGTAGGAAGAAATGGATTCCTCATTACTCATCTCCAAGTGCTGAACTTAAGAGTGATCCTTAGTTTGAAATGTTGGCAAGGCAAACGATCAACTTGAAGAAAAGTGTGATCATTAGGTTAGGAAATATTTCTAAGTCTCTTTTGGAAGAGTGTGCAACTGCCTTGAGTTTCTTGGTAGGGTGTGCAACAGCTCCAACTTCTGTGATAAGATCAATTAAAGAAAATGCAAAGGGGGTTCTTATAGGGAGTCAAAGGGTTTAAAAAGAAATTTCACTTGGTAAAATGGGACGAAGGTCTATTAGGAAAAGAAAGATGAAGGTTTATGAATTAAAAAATTGAAGCATTTCAGTAAAGATCTTTTAGAAAATGACTATGGAGATTTAGCTATATATGAGAGGGAAGCTCTTTGGAGGAGGGTTGTGGCATGCAAATATGGGGTAATTGGGTTCAAGTGGGATTCCAAAGAAGTGAAGTCATCTTATGGAGTGTGAAAGGTATTATGTGTCCAATCGGCTTTGCTCAACTTCATGTCGTTCAAAGTTGGAAATGGATCCACAATTAAATTGTAGGTAGAAGATTGGCTGGGCTTTAAAAAATTGTGTGAAATTTGCCCACAACTTATGTGAGAATGCAAAGGAGAATGTTTATCAGTATCCCTACTGTAAGTTCATCTAGGGCATTTTCTTTGGACTCTTCAAAGCTAAGTGGATGGACCCTTGTTCAGTAGAAGAACAATTCTTTAGGTGGCCAAGTGTGAGGGAAAACATCAAAGCAAAGATTGCTTGGAGCTGCATTATTTTTGTTGTTTGTTGAGAAAGAGTGGAAAGAAGAAATAGGAGAATCTTTGAAGATGAAGTTCAATCAAGGGACCATATCACTCTTACAAAAGAAGATCTTGGTGCTGGAGTTTGAAACATTCTTAAGTTAACTTAAAAGCTTTGTCCTTTTATTGACTTTAGTTTTTGTCTTGTTCTTCTTTGCATTGTCTACATTTTGTACTGCTTTGTATTTCTGGTGATCTCTCATCACCCTCAATTCTACCTTCTTTTTCTATCAATAAATTTTATTTTTTATTTATTACCAAAAATACTTTGAACCATGACTATAATATAGATAGATATTTAGCAAATATAATATGGGATTAGCCAAGGTGAACAATTAATTAATTAATTAATTAATTACAATATTGTTTACTATCCCTAAGAAATCAAAGAAGAACTAATTTGTTTCAAACTTTCAATGGTGTTTCTCTGACCATGAAAAAAGAAACCCATTACCATGTAATGTTCAAAATTCAAATTCAATTTTTTAATTGCTTCTACAACCAAAATTTCCCTACAAAACATATAATTGGTTACTATTAGAACCACATGCATGAGTAAATGGTTAAACCCCTATATTGGATAAGAAAAATTAATGAATTCAGATACTGCGTATTCTATTGATAATAGAAACTTTGTCCTCACTAGTGTTCAATTACTTTACACTTGGCACTACACATTGATCCTATGGAAGGACTTTTACCATCCAACAACCAAGGTCTGTATACTGATTTTAATTTCCCTTTTTTCTTTCTTACTTTCTTTTATATTTTAATAAATGATTATCCTAATTGAGCATTCAACATAAGCTGCTTATGAATGAAAACCCCTATTTCAAGGTCTTAAATTTGAGCCAAGAAAGAGTGCTAATGGACCAAATACATGGTTATATAGACAAGTCTAAACAACCACAATTGGCAGTGGTTGTTTAGACTTTGTTTCTTCTTAATACTGAGGAATGTTAACAGACGTTTGTTTCTTCTTAATAGTCACTAAAAGCTCAATAAACCAGAACAACCTTATCAAATGTTAGGTAAGCTTCAGTTGAGGCTGGTTGCTGACCTAACTCATTCCACTATTTTTATCCTCATTTCAATCAATCACTCTATTATTTATTTATATTTGGTATTCCATATTAGACATTGGGACAAGGAAGGATTCACTGACCTCACCACAGAGAACCTGCAGTTCAGCAAATTTAATAATGCTTCGCTTCCATGGCTGGAGGGACGCTATAGTGGCCTATTTCAGCTGCTGAACCTTACCTTTAGGTCCAAGAACCTCCCTAATTTGAGACCATATATATCTAGCTTTGAATTTTCAAGAATGTTCACACGGCTGCTATATTTTTGTTCTTCATCATCTTCAAAAATTATTAATTGACAATTGTTCACATAAATAATAGATGCTTGTTTTCAAAATTAATTAATATTTTATATACAAGCAATCATCCATGGACCCATTCATACCAATCAGGTGTCAAAAGCTAGAAATGTTATTTAATTAGAGCTGCATTTTGTGGCCCACCAATCCAATGCTCTGAATCACTGAATGGATCACGCAAGCATGGGTTAATTAAGACTTGCTTAATTTCAATTATGTCGCCACCTCTACAACCTAACAACCCAACACCTAATTAAAACATCTGTATGCATTATATTATTGTTAACTAATATCATTTTTAAGTAAAATTATTAGGCAGAAGAGGAGTGTTTGCTGCTTTAGAATCCTACTTGTACATGATTTTGACACGTGGCAACTAAAGATGGAACCAAAAACATCTGTGAGAGAGAGAGAACCTATCTTAATTAAGTGTCACCCATATTAAAGGGTATTAAAACTCTCTCTCCCCCCTGAGCAGGTGGTCAATATTCAGTCAATGGAGGCTAAAGTCGGCATTGATCCTAGTTTTAGGTTCCAAAGTATCAAACTAATCCTAGACTTCAATAGTTATTGTTCAATAGATTGACCATGTCTAGGGTAGGTCACAACTCGCAACCCATGAATCATCCCATCATATTCAAATATCCAACGGTTGATCCCTAATTATCCAAAAAATTGCCAAAAAAAAATCCATTTGCAAGGGGTCATGTGGCTCCACACCAGTCACTAGACCAAAATAGATTCTGTCCAAGACTCAAAGGTTGAATTCTCCAACCCATGAGCGAATAGGATGATAACTGCGGTCGGTAAGACCAAACTACATTTGAAGTGATATGTTTCTTCGGTCCTCCGTTGCTTTTTACGCGGATAAGTTGCCACGTGGCAAGCTTTTTTGCTGCTTCACGCATACGCCCGCCTTTTGTCGACCAACAAACTTAACGTAAAACCAACTACTCCTTCTGCCTCCCCACACCTACATCGCTAAAACCTCAAGATCCACCCCATCCACCCATCCACGTAGTAACCCTTTCCTTCATTTAAATATCAAATTTACCCTCTTAGTTAAGAACGTAGGCAAAAATGGTTTATTACATAAAAGCCGCCTACTGCACTTTGAATGTTGAAACTACCCTTTTGTCGACGGTGGACCTGGACCAGTGAAATTTGAAATGACGAAAATACCCCTATTGACCACCTGGGATTTGGCAACGACACGATTTACACGTGCACAATTAATAAACCACATTGATGTCGGCTACCGACACTGGAAAACTAGGGAACGAGGGTCATATCGTCATTTAGCGTACAGTTTAGAATCGAGGGACCAAATAAGAAATACTCGGAAAACTACGGTTATTATATGTCGCCCGATTTGGCGTACGCGTAGGTCTCCACTGTAGAATCCGGTCAATTTAAGGAATCTTTGGGTTGATGGGCGGGTAAAAGGAGCTGCTGGCGCTAAATTTGACCCGAGTTTGTCCCGACTGTAGCGTTCAGGGTTGAATGATGAGGTCAAGATTCAAGAACAATGGAATCGGATTAATACCACGCGCATATGTCAGTAAGTTTTGGGGAATAAAATGGCATTTAGGTAATTGTTATATGAGTTCAACTTCAAAGGAGTCGTCTCGTATTCATCCAAAAGAGAGGATTTCCCACCACCTTCCCTTCTCGTATGGAACTCATGATGAAACCATGTTTCTCTTTCCTCCATATATATAAATACTAGTAGATATATATACATAGAGAGAGAGAGAGAGAGAGAGAGAGAGAGAGAGAGGTGAAGAGGAATCCTCGCTAAAGAAGAAAGCGTGGTTCTTTCTTTCGTATTGGGATTTGGGTGGGAAGAAGAGATGGAGCAGAGGAAGAGTAGCAACAATGATCAAATGGGTACCCCAGTTCACAGTCAAGTTAGAAAGATCAAGCAAGAATATGAGAATATCAAAGACCCATATCCGCAGAAGCTAGAGATCAGACCAGTTCTTCGGGAGATCACCCGGCAGCTCTCTCGCTCGCCGCTGGGACGAGTAGGCCGAGCCATCTCTGTTGGAGACTCGTAGAGTTTGATTGGAGATGGATGCTCCAGGCGTCTGTCTAGCAGTAGGGAGCATAGGGGGTCTAGTTTTTCTATTTGTCTTTTGGTTTTACTTTCACTTGTAAAACCTTTATTAGAGGTAAGAGCAGCTTCCCATGACTGCCGACTGGTGCAGCAGATGATGACGAGGAAAATCTTCTTTTTTCTTTTCTTTTTAGGTCTCTGTGTGTAACTTCCATGCTTTCTCAGTTTGAATTGATGGATTGAGTTAGCGGGCTTTTTATTCATCCTTGCCAGTTTTGCACAGAGGAACCAGAGGATATCTCTGAATCCTGTTCTTCCGGTTTCTTAAATTCTGTGGGTTAGTAATGGGAACATCTGGTTTAACCTTGTATATAAATAAGTATGTAAAATAATGGCAAACTAGAGCTTGCCGTCTCTCTCTCTCTCTCTCTCTCTCTCTCTCTCTCTCTATGCAATTCAAAAACTCCACAGATAGGATTTATCTGTTTTGGTAAAATAGGGAGCGTTTGTAGAAGCTTTGGGAACAAATCCTTTTAACTTTGAGGAGGCAGAGAGAACCGAGTACATTTGATATCTCGATCTCAGAATTTGATTTTGAAGCAAAATGAGAAGGCAAAGTTCTTGCTTTTCTTTGAAAGCAAAATCTGAGTACAGGAAAGCACTCTTTGTAGCCACAGCTTTTTTTTTTGGTCTTACAATTCCATTCTGCCTATGACAATCTCCCATCAATGTGGATTCTAATGGGGTATTTGAGTTTGAGATTTCTCTATTAGAGTAACGTCTAACTGCTTTTTGTTTTTGCTTGTCGGTGGTACACCTTCCCTCCTTCTTCAGGGAAGGAAATTGGTTCCTTTATTATTATATGGTATGCAATCCGCTGTCTGATCCCCAGTCCTCCACTTGCTTGGATTAATAGAGCAATATTTGTTTTTGACTGTCATCTAAATTAATTGTTCTATTCAAAGGAGTCTGGAGTGACAGAGGAAGTTTAACCAGTAAAGTTAATTGTCATTGGTTTTCATGTAGGGTTCAACTATGATATGATATGGTAGCCAATTAGGTGTTATTTATCAAAATTCATGGGTGGGTTTTGATTGGTCAAAACTCATCCGACATGGTATGGGAAAAAATATTTATTTCTCCGTCTTCCATTAAAGGATGTTCCTATTTGATCATGATCCTAGTTAGGAGATCGCCAACAATCTCCATAAGATAGCGATAACTCAAGATTAAAATCCCAACCACTGATTATGGGGTTTTTTGTTATCGGAACGCGTTCCGATTTGTTAAGACTAGAGGAATCCGGCTGATTTTCGTGATTTAGGGTGATTCCCAAAATCTTTGGGAGATAAATGGATTTCTACAACCAAATACCCACCATGCTGGGAAAAATGCATGCTAGGAAATTGGAACGAAATATAATAAAATTAAGGAAAAATCTATGATGCCCGAAAGAAACGATACCGGAAAAGCTTTGATCAATCAAAAAAACCCATGAGTTTTGATAAAATAAACCACCTGATTGATTACCACTTTTATTATGCCAGTTGATTGGTAATAAGTTTCTGGTATCATGTCTTTCGGCAACATAGTGGAACCTTAAAGATGCAGCTGAAAACAGCAACCAAAAGTTGGAGGAAAATTTTTGCCTATCTCAAAGATAACAATCTTTGACAACTGTATCACCAGTTGCGGATAAGATCATTCATAATGTCTATGATTATAGGTTTCCTTTTGGATGCGGCATATGATAGCCAACTCAGTTGAGCCTGAAGCAACAGCCATTCATTCTGCATTATGTTGGTGAAGTATTCGTGCAATCACAGAAAAAGTAGTTATAGTGCAAAGAGGAGATATTTCATTTGATATCCCCAGAGGATTCTTAGATGTAAGACTTGAGATTACTCAGACTGTTTATTTTACCGTCTCCATTTGATATTCTGCCTGTCTCTGATAAATATGATGATGGAAGGCGCCGAAATATAGAATCATACTGACAGTAGTACAATACAAACCACTGAAGCATTAGCTTACGGTCCAAATCACGTTGCTATAAATAATCAAACACAACACAGTAATAAAAACAAAAACAGAAATACTAAAAAGGATGGATATTACTCAAATACTTGGATCCACAGACAATTTTGGATAAATTGTTACAGACAATTCTTGCTACAGACATGGTCACCATGCAGATCATTCCTACATGATCTGGGGCAGAAATCAGAATACAGAACATATGACATTGGTGGTATAATTAAAAGATCTTGGTTTGGGTTTCCTTCCTTTCATTTGCTATATCAAGTCACACTCACAAGCACAACCCAAAAAATAAGCACAATTGACATTTCTTAGAAACCCTGTTTCTTTGATGCCATCTTTACAATTTACAACTGAAACCAATCTTCATCCTGCTAACAACCAATCAAACTCCTGGGTGATGGAAAGTTTTCATTTCACTGCTAAGCATAATCTTCAGAGTCACTGGAGTCCTCTTCAGATGTCACATCTGACACTGCATCATTTTCATCATCAGTCTCCTCAATCCTGACATTTCTTTTAGCAGTAATCTTATCAAGTGCTGCAGTCTTGCTTGCCCTTTGAGAGCGGGTGCTTAACATGGAAGGAGTGGGAGGAACAACAGAAGTAGGTGAAGTTTCTCCCTCGTCTGAAGAAGACTCCTGCCTTGCTTGTCTCCTAAGCCGGATGGATCTGACTGATCGTGGTGCTGGTGTTGGTGGCATTGTAGTTGAAACATCCATACTAATATTGCTGTCCAGTTCTAACCTTCCTGACATCATAGTGTAGAAACAGATCACAATTGAAAAGAGAAGAAAAAAAATAATGGTCAAAGCCTTCTCTCATTTTAACTGCAACTAATCCGTACCAGTGATCGATGTGTTAAGACTTGGACCAGACACAAACCCGGAATGCTTTCTGGGTCATGGTCAAATGGTTTGACCATGCCTGACATATTCGATATATTTAACACTTTTTTGTAAAACATAACATGTCTTAGTGCATTGGCGGGATCCAGATCTCACCATTTACATTTTATGGATTAATGGTAATAAAGTAACTTGGCTAATTGATAGGTTGTGAGTTTGAACCATGAGACTTACATTTTAAGTTTCTAAGTATTTACCAACCCAGGTGGGTCATTAAAACCGGTTGTATCATCAAAACCCAGCCAGTTTTTAATGGTTCTGCCGAGTTTTGACCGGTTCTACCGGTTTTTCAGAAATCTGAAACCCAGGGATCTAAAACACCGGAATGGTCTCCAATTCCTGGGTCTAATGACTCGACCGTCCTGTCCGGTCCGGGTCTTAAAACATTGCTAGTGATTAAAACTATATTTAGTTACATAATAGAACCATCTATCTAGATTTCTAATATGGGGACAAGTGGCAAAGGTGTACCAAAAATAAGATTAACTTCATCTTCTGATAAGCTCTGATCTGGATGTTTGTCCAGGACTCTAAGTTTATCTGCCATTCGTGTCAACTCCTTCACAAGCTCCTTGTCTGTAAGCACAAATTCTGCCATTGGATTCAAAAATCCCCTCATACATTTAATCGCCTCTTGCTCAGATGACCGAAAATGGAGCAAGATGACAATCCTACATAATGCTGACATATAAGATTTTCCAGCAGATGTTTTCTTTGTAGGGAAGTTCACCACCTAATTATAACAGCCCAAATAGAATTAGTCAGAGCACTATGTATAAGATAAACCACAACATGCAAGAAAAGTTAGAGTTCTTTCCATGAAAAGAAAATTACAAGTGCTAGATTTGTATATACAACAACATTGGGTAATAGCCTTTTCCATGCCCTAGATTTGTATAACAAGTGGAATAATCAGTGTTTGATAGTGTACAAATAAATGTAAACTAAAAGCCTAATCCTTGTTTGAGAATAGGAAGAGACGATTACAGAGAGAAGCATAATGCCAGGCTCATGTGTTAGTAAAATGTCAGGGTTTAAATTGAGAAATATAACCTCTGCAGCTATGCGAATGGCAAGCCCTTCCTCCCCACTATCAAAGTCAAATGGCAGCTGCTCAGGATTATCAGGAGTTTCTGGTGACTTCCTTCTGTCATTGTCACCCTCCATTTCATTTTCTTTTGGATACACAGCAGCTTGCATCATCTGCAGCATGAAACGTGATGCTTGGATTGCACGTTTCCGCATATTAGACACAAGTACAGAAGACCCACCCACATTCCCATAAATACCCGGCCACATTGAACGCATGACTGGAATAAACGCTTTGGAAATGCATTTCTACACATATGGAGAAGACAAATTTGAGTCATTCACAAGAAGGAAATCCATATAATATAAATATTCTGCCAAAAGAGCAAATTAACTAGAATATATATATATATATATAAAATATAATATAATATATATAAGTTACTTGCCTTGTGATCAGTTGAGAGTGATGGATAATGCTCAAAAAACACAGATAAGCATTGCTTCAATCTGGTAACCAGAAATGAGGAAGAGTAAATAACTGTCAATACAACTTAATCAATAACACATGCAGGGAGGAAAACAGCAAGCAGGAAAAATGATCACCTGTGCATTTCTTTTGTTTCATTGTTGAAGTACAGGTTGATTAGCTTTATGAGGATTGAAGTATGCAAAGGAGAAGTAATGCTCAGATAGCTCTCACTTAAAAGAAGAATCTTAGCAAACCCCTCCCCTAAGATAGCTTGTACTGATTCATGATCATCAGTTTCTACATATTCAACCCAATCACCCTGGTCAAGTCCAGCATATAAGAGATCTAAGAGTTGAACATTTAAATCCCCATTTAAGTCACACAAGTTAAGAAGAGTAAAATTTCTTTTATCATCCTGAGATTGTGAGAGATGTTGTCCTGTTGTTCTGTCAACTTCTTGAGGACCATGCCACATTCCAATATCAACCAGTGCCTTGCTAGCCATGACACTAACAGGACTAGGACCATTTACAAAAGAATGCTGTAACTGCTTTACTAGCTCCTCACTTGGTTTCCTCTCCAATAACCCAAAGAGACCAAGACATCTTGTAGCAGATCTTTGTACATCTGGGTGAACATGCTTTGCCTGCATTCAATAAAGACACTGAGAATTCCACTTCCAGAAGAATTTAAGCTTGAAACATGATTTGAAAAAAAAAAGAAAAAGAACTAGTGATCTAGATAAATATAAAGAATTAGACTGAACAACAAGAACATCAATACACAAAGGAAATTTGTTAAAGTTCATACCCCAGGAAGCAGTACCGAGTGCAGTAATTCTGCAGGTTCAATGGCCTTTCCTTGCACCCAGTGAAAAGATTTTATATTTTCCAAGAGAAGACTGGTAATAGCAAGGCAATGCATCCATTGCATAAAGTCTGCAGTTCTCTCCCTGCAAGGCCGAGCAAGCTCCTCAACAACCCCAAGAACCACTTCTTCAAATTCTCCAACAGAAGCATGTACTTTCCTCGCCAACTCTGAAACTGCAAATGCCCACTCCCTGTCTCCGCCTAGATTAATGCCATCTCCTATGATAACCTTGTTCCCATCATCATCAACTTCATGTTCAATAGGTCTATGCAATAATTCCTGCACAAATGAACTAGCAACTTTCCTGTTTGTAGCATCAGAGAAATCGAGCATAACACCAAGCATTAGCAGCTGCCGAGATACAAAATGATAATTTGGTCCTGAAATAATTACTTGGGATCAGCATGTATGCTCAGATTCACAAGTACTTTGTATATATTGACTATTATGAATTTATCCTACCTGCAGCAAGATGAGCCTTCACCAATTCAACATAATCAGAAACTGTTGAGGGCAGGATTCTCTCTAGAAGTTCATTGTTATCCGAGGCTTCTGCTGCATATATTACAGCCTCGGTCCCCATTGTTGAAGCAGCATCAGAGCCTTTTGCCTGTGAAGTAATCCACCTAATGATTTAGATGATAAATACAAGGAAAACATACTGTATTATTAATAATAAGAACATATTTGATTTCAAGAGTGCCAATCTGCAAGAGATCATCATTTTTTAAATGACTTCAAAAAGACCTGAAGATCTAAGTACAGCTCTGGAAACTTAATGGAAAGCAGTCCCATCCTAAGCACAAATATAGAATCATTTTGTATAACAAATTTTAATAATAGGATTGCAGAGAAGAGCTGAAAATTTTAAGTTGAAACACCATTATCAGAACCTTGAAAGGTTGATAAGACTAGGGAGCAGTTACATCATATAGGTCAAAAGCAAATAACTGTAGGCAGCTGTTTAGAGAAAAGGAAAGTTAGAAATTGAATACTTGTGCAAGGAAACTTAGGATTTTGGGTTATAATATTATGTCAAACTCATGGACAATAAACTGCATTGGAGGAAGATTTTTTGGAGTGTAGATTTACTTCCCTAAACATACCACTCATAGACAGAACATATTAAACTAAAACTGAAGTTTCTTACCTGTGCCTCAGTCTGTAAGTGCTTACATAAAATTCTCCAATAAATAGCAACCTCTGCTTCCATTAGTTGAATGTTGGGAATACATTGTCCTGGCATGGGCAAGCCAAACTAAATAAATAAAATGAATGGTAAGAATAAATGGTATACACAAGAAATACAAACTGTTAATCCTTGTGGAAATTGTCAGTAAGCTGTTAAACGGGGTCTGAGTTGAAACTATGCTACATAAATTCCGATACCAACATGACAATTGAGGGTACTCTTCTAAGTATGCTGATTAAAGAACCTCAAAGTGATAGAAAATTTAAAAAAAAAAAGTTGTGAAGTCAAAATACTTGATAATTGTGAAGTCAAAGTATTTAACTGTTCAGTATTGCTTGTGTTGATTTATGCTTCTACTTTCAATTTCTTTCCTTTTCCAACAATTACCCCACTTATATAACATAAATGGCAAAAGATGTCCTAATAGGTCAAGTAGAGACCTTCCCTTCAGAACACCATTTAATTTTGCAATGTGGAAAGATATTGTGGCCAATCCAAACCATCCATTACATAACCCACTACATTTACCACAAAATCAATATCAAAGTTGATACCAACCCTATACTAAAACGTTGTATTGGAGTTCAATCCAATTAATAACAGCCATCCATACTTTTAGTTTATTGGACTAAAAAAAGGTTATAAAAGATGGTATATTTTGAACATGTTTGGTAAATAAAATAGTTTTTCTGTTCAGTAAACATTCCACCAAGGTTTCATCATTAGATATTTCCCAAACCATCTTATATCCTGCCCTTTTCTAAGAGATCACATTAGATAATTGGACAGCAAAAGGAAATCTCATAAAGCTTGACATTCCTCAAACATTTTATTTATTCTCTGAGTTTCTAGTCTCTGAGTTTCATAAACCACATAATATATGATACCAGGGGCCATTACTTGGTGTAATGATAAAATCTTGGACTGGCAAGTATGAGAATGCAGGATCTAGTCCGAGAGCAGCCACTTTGTGCAAAAAAAAAAAAATGCCAAAAAGTTAGGACCGTATCACATCTACTCCTCCCAAGATCCCAGATAGCTGGGATGGCGGGACCAACACTGTATGGCCTTTTTTAATAAAATGATTAAAATCCCATTATCTCAAGTTCAAAAAGAACCAAAGGAACAGATAAATATGATTATACTAGATACTAAACATTAGGCTTCAAGAACTACTACCAAAATCCAATCTCCGATGAACAAAGTGACAAACATATGAAAGTATTAATTATCTATACTTGCATTACATGCTATAAATGCATGTTCATATGATTGCATCCATGAGTGTTGGGCCCATCTATATTCCACAGCCACTCATCAGTGATAAGTATCTAAAATATGTTCAAGGCTTCAAGTAGAAAAGCAATAAAAGATACAAGTTTCACAAATCTTCCTTTTATTTTTTGATAAGTAACAGTATGGGTTCCTTTCCATTCTACCCAAAAAATTGGATGACAAGAAAAAAATACAAAGCCATAGAATGACTTCACAAACCTTCATTTGTATCACAGGTTGATACTAAAAACTGTCGGATACTCTGTCCATCCTGCAGATCCACCATCCCAGCTTTTAAGAGAGTCCCAATTACAGCCTCCCCAACAGATTCATAAGTTTCTACATCGAGAAACTTGAGAAGGGATATGGGGTCTCCATTACAACGTCTAACAAGCCACTCATCTTTCATCAATTTTAGACATTCTTTCTTTACAGACTCAGACCTGTCTGCAAGACCCCTTTGAAGAATAATTGTCCTAAGTTTGATGCTGACATTGAGAAAAGAAGAGACAAAAGCCAATAAACCATGTTATATGTCTTATAGAGAGGCATATATTTGCTTAAAACAATTTCATCATAAAGTTTATGATTCAAAAATGCTGCACCAAATCATGTTTTTCTTTCCTTTAATCAAGTGAAGTAAATTCTTACTACAACTTAGAAGAATAATACTGTCAATAATCAATATTAGCATGTCACATAATCAACAAACTATGGCATATAACTAAAGATAAGGCCTTATGAGACTCATCTTTTAAAATGAATGCAGATTATGGTATGAAAATAGGAATTACCTGAGGCTCTGGAGGGGAAATTTATTAGCCAGAACACAGTATGCTGCTCTACGAACCAACTCACTTACATCGCGTGTGCACTCAATTATTGCTGCTGATGTTGCACTGGAAGGAGGCAAAGATAGTACTATTGTTTTGCGAACCTCCTGCAAACACTTTACTGTTGATCTCCAAGTAGAAGTGATTTTTACTAAGAACAAGAAGAATGCAGCATCAAGGTAGGAATGGAACTTTTGAAGACATTCCTAAACAAAAAATACTTATCAAGCTTTTGGTGGGAAACCATATTCTTATCTAAAAATTTCTGGCTATTCATTATTATACCTTTAGGAAAATGGCAACTTTTAAGTTACCTTTATATTTGTAACTAAAACAACAGGAAGAAAAAAGATTATTTAAGTCCAACTGGCTTATCAAATAGCTTAGATGTTTTTTAAGGAATTAGAAAACATAGATCAGAACATAGCATTCAAGGATAATTAAATTGGAGTTTTTGTAGAGAGAACTTAGTAATTTCTTTTGGAATTTCACTCCATCCAAGAGGTTAACCAGTTCAGTGCACTGCTCTAAATCATAAGTTATTCAGTTGGGCAAGTATGTTGGATTTTCATTCTATGGACAAAAGTAGGAGTTTTCCTCTATTTTGCCTTGCCTAACTATTTGAGCTTAGCTACATGAATCCTGTTTTACCATTCCATTCTATCCAGTGCAACATCCATTGTTAAACAATAGGCCCTTAAATCATTTCCCCCTACTTCAATGTCCAACTTGATCTCCCTTTCTGAAAAAGAAAAAAAATAGTTTTTTCAACTTCAGATCACTTCTTACTGTGCCGTATGTGTAGATGGTCTTCTTTAAGCATGTCCAAACCGTTTTGGTCTATTTTTCATCACTGTCACCTATTTGAGCTTTTCCTAGGTTCCTTTAAATAAGTTCATTTCTGATCCTATTCTTTGTGGTTTTCCTACTCATCCAACTCCACCATGCAAGCTTATATAACACTCCCCAACCCTGACAAAGGAGGGTTGTGTCAGGTTGACAGCAAGCATTAAAACTTTTGCCAAAGTCTTATGAAAATGGATCCTGAATTGTCCCCTATTTGGCATCATTCAGAAAAAAAAAAAAAAAAAAAAACAAAAACAAAAACTGAGCCTAGTGAAGAATTGTTATAAGGCATCATGCAGTTAATTCCCACAAATTCTATTGAAATCTTACCGGGTTTTGTTCAACAGATAAGGCCTGAAGAAACACATCAACAACGTCACTGTTCTCTGAATCATTTGCAAAACGTGCAAGAGCTCGAACTGCAAATGTACGAATAGCTGGGACCTTATCTCCTACTCGTAATTTCATGCAATCTATTACATCATCCCATAGTTCATTGCTTACTTCTGCATCGTCTGGCAACCGCATTACAATCTATAATTACAGAACCAAGAAAAAAAAATCAAATTTCAGCATCTGAACCAAAAACCCAAGTAAAGTACAATTCGGGTTTACCAATCAATAAAATTAAAGAGACCTGAATTGGAAAATATGAAAATTGATGGCAATCACTGAAGTGTTAAGACACCAAAAAGATAAAACTTTTCAGATTATATAAAAGTAAACATCACCTCAGAAATTATTTGGCAAGATCTGAACCTAGCGGTCTTATTGGAGGCAATAGCAGCGACCAGAAGAAACCGCAAAAATTCCTCCAAGAAGGCATCACAATCAGCGGAATGTTTTCCGTCGCGGTGAGCAGAGAAGATAGCGATAAATCGGACAACCCTTTCGGCAGAAGCTATTCTCTTCTGGAAGTCAAAGAGGGGCGTTAGGGTTTTGGAGAATGCCGAAAAGAAATGGAGAGGGGAAGAAGAACGAATTGCCAAAAGTTCCTTCAGCTTTCTGTTGTGTATGGCGTAGGAGGCACGGCTTTCGTCCAAGACAATAGCAATCTTCTGCATCAGTAGCTTCTCCTCGCCAGTCATGGCTCAAGCTCGTTCTCTGTCGCGCTCCTTTTCCCACCGCTTGTCTGTCAAAATCAATCTTCTATCTGAAGTTCTTCTGTTCTTGTTTGAATTTGGGCGGGCAGTTAACGGTGTCGTTAGATAAAATTTAACGGACACCGTTAGCAAGTAGGTATGTGCACTGCACGTGATACCAACATAAAAGAGGCGTCGAGGGATGTCAGTGGGTCGGGTTAAATGGTAAACCTGCAAGGAAGAATCGACACTATCGGATTAGGATCGGGTCTGTCTTGATCAGGTTGAAGACTTGAGGTGGAATCATGCTAAACCCGAGTATAAATGGGCTGGATCAAGTTCAACAATTCCACTCTAGGTTTGGGTAAGTAAGGCCAAAACCGAACCAGACCCGTTGAGTCAGTTAGGGGTGTAATAGAGCCGAATCCAGCTAAGCATTCAGGCTTGACTCGACTCAAAAGTGTTTGTTTTTTTGTCAGATATTCGACTCAAAAGTTTGGAAGCTTGAAACTCAATTTGAGTTTGGTTGAGTTTTGAGTTTCCCTCAGGTTTTACTTTAACAAAAACCTCCCTTAAACTTTTCAAAAACTCTACACATACCTCCCGTCACTTACCTAGATGAAAAGCATTCAACCGATGCATTATGTTTTACAAAATACCTATTCTACCCTTTGCATTTTAACTTGAAATAACCCATTTGTCATCCTCTTCTTTTTTTTTAATCTCCTATCATGAAACTCCATCGAGCCACGAAGAGAGAGTAGCATTCAGCCACCATACACTCTTTCTCCCCTAAAACTTCCTCTAGTCAAAGTACAAACAATTTTTCTATACCGAATATAGAGGATGTGAGCTCTATTCTTCCCATCAAAAAAGTCCTTAATCGTTGTTTTCCGTTAATTTTTTTTTATACTGAATACAGAGGATGTGTGTTGTGTTCTTCCTATCAGAAAAGTCCTTAATCTTTGTTTCAGCTGTAGACAACCAAATGGAGGTGGGTGATCAATAGATTCCAGAAAAACTTACAAATCATCACAGCTTATTCAAATCCTAATTCCTCCACGGCTACAAATTTCATCCTTTCTCAAGCTAAAGCCTTAGCCCTAGAATATCTGGACCTTGCTTTCAATTCTCTTGAACTCACACACTAGCATTGCTTCCATTGAGCTTCGGAAATGGAACCACCTCCCTTTCAATGCCCACCTCGACCAAGAATGTGTTGGCATGCAGTAGCTTGAGGCCATCCGCAGATTGAAGGATTTTGGATTCCATCCAATGAGACCCATTTACTTACCATTTATCCTCGATGAGGAAACCAGAGGTCATAGCAGATATGCCAAGTGAATTTCATTCTTTTTCCTCTTCTTTAATTGATATTAATTTAAGCATTCAATTGCACTAGTTATTGTCTTTTGTTTTTTACAGAATCATCATTATCAATCATCTTGACGGGACCAGATGAGCAATTCTTCCTCAACCAGAAATAAGTAATGGATTTCTACCATAAAAAGAAAAGAAGAGAAAAAAAAAAACAAAAAAGAAAATACAGACTAGGACATAACACAAAAATCCACATAGCCATCTGGAAGTTGTCCTAACATAATCAAACATACCAAATAAGTGATTCTAACTGATGATGCACAACCGGCCGGTCTTAGCTGTCAACGATCTTGCCTCTGACTGAGTGGTAGGGGACCTGAAACGGAGGGGGTGAAGAAGCTCCAGAGAGAACCCGGCGTAAGGGCTCCGAAGCTCAAGTTAGAATCTTTCAAATGCAAGATAAGCCAGATAGCGCAAAAGTTAGCATACCTTGTTCTTGGGGGGTAGGGAGCCTTTTATAACCACCTCGCGCACTCACTTCCAGGCTTCTGTCAGATCGGGCATGATTATCTCTGAGCTCCTACCAGTTCGGATGTCATCCCCTCTGGCCAGACATAA